CATCCACTTTTTGGTCGAAGAAGGTGCCTCCGATACCCTAATGTGTGTGTGTGTGTGTGTGTACATGAATTAGGAATAAGCACAGCATGGTTGCAGCGGCTTATAGGAGTGGTCATTTGCTAGCTGATACTTAGGCATGCAGAAGTGGGAAGCTTTTGCTCTAAATAATGATGAAATTTAGAAAAGCTTGAATGTTATGACACTGTAAGTGAAGTTTTTCTACATAATAGACGCCAATGCGTTCTTCAAAGGAAGCCTAGTCAGTACAAGAGAACGCGTCATTCATTTAAGGCCTAAGACACCAGCAATTTTGCTGACCGACCAGACGGATCCTTTTTAACCGGCTACTTTGATGAGTGTGTTAAGTGCGGTCACTTTGCACATCCACAGAAAGTTGCATCCTAATGCATTTGGGTTAAAGATTGAACTAACACAAATGGCAGAAGTATGAGTTTTAACTACAGAAAGCAAACATAATTGTTAGACAGCTTTCGTGGTACGATAGCCGATTCAGTATCGCCTTTTGTTTAAAGGTGAAACCCACTTGATCACAGTAACGAATTTTCATCCTCCATCACAATTATGTTAAGGTCCACTAGAATTCCAATGGTGGTCCTTTGGAAGCGTATTTATGAGGAATAGCACTGAACTCCATGTTTCTGCAGGAATTATTGCCGTATAAGTTAAATGGGAGATAAGTACCTTTGTAGAAATAAACTTTGTCTGAAAGATTAAATCAGAACATTCTATTGCGTGTTGTTACCTCTGAAGATGGCGCTCTAAATTAGAAGTGATATGCAAATTGTTGGGACCATAGACCTTAAAAAACACAGTTGCCTGAGCTTGAACATACTTTCATCTGTTCTGGGGAAATCGGATTATGAATGGCTGGCCGGTGAGTTGCCTTAATAAACAAAGTTTAGGCTCTATTTCTGCTTTATCCACATTTCTGAGCATGCATAAATTGATGTTAAGCTAAATTTGGCACTCAAGGGCCCTTGGCTTCAGGGCATGTTTGCCCAACCAATTTATGAAAGTTGGTGACTTATTTGATACCATGCACCCCGTTTTGAAAGCATTGCATTGTGGAGCAATTCCGCAAATCGTACTAACATTTCTGAAGAATTTTAATAGACTTTTTGTATGCCGCATAGCATTAACGCAAATGCTAAATTGATGCGGAATCCAAATGGAGGTGTAAATAGAGCTCTGAACACAAATGGATCATAAAAAGTAAATAATGACAACGAATTTTTTTGTCAACACGGAGATCTTTTTGATTAGAGAATCTTAAGGAGCAAAGCAGCAAGAATCACTCCATTGCGGAAATACCAGCACTACTTTCGCTCTTATTAGTTTGTACCACTTCGCTGTCCTGAACTCGTCTTCTTAGCAGCGTTTCTATCTTAGTGACTGCTACAACAAGCAGATTGCCAAACCACTATATACGTAAAAACAGTATTGAGAATGGAAAATGACTTCATATTATGGTATTCGACCGTTCACTGTTGCATACGCTAGAGCACGATCTTCCAGCACTTTTGCCTGTAACTTACGCGCTCGGAATGCCTATTGACCTTTCAAACCGACTTGAGGTGCCGAAGCCGCTGGCTCTTGATGGAGGCCTGAGATCCGCCGGCACTATCAGGCATTCGCACTCTACAGGCCATGCACTATGCAATCATTTAGATTAGTATGTTTTCATCTTCTTGACTATATTTTATCAGCCCGTGTTATCAAGTTCATCGTTATAGCCACTACGGAGAACAAGGTAAACGGAGCCAAAATCCCACCAGATCAAGTAGTTCAAATTTTGGGGTGCTTATGGCGGCTTTTCCATGCTTTACCACTGTGAAAGTCAAACGAGCCCAAAGTGAGTCTGACCTTGTCTGTTGCCATAGCTTTGATGCTTGGTTCATTTTCATGTTCCAATTTTTATGTAGCGCTACATGCTAGTATCACCAAAACTCTAAGCTGTGGTTTTGAGTAATGTTATTTATTTAAAAACTCCTCATAATGCTCTTGGACAAATATTTTCATTATTAAAAACTTTTCTGTGGTCTTGTTCTGATAATGAAGTACTGATTACCAAGTAAATAAGGCAATAGAGTAACTTTATAAGAGTGAACATTAACTTTAAAGGTGGACCACTTTTGATCGTTTGAATAGTTTTATTGGATGAAATTATCGTCCTTGTATTTAAAGCAAAGCAGCTATCATTCCTGTACTTTCTGGCACTTTTTGTAAGATTAGTTTTTAAGGAGCAACCCTAAACGCAGCAGCTAAGACATTCAGAGGAAGTCTGTAACTAGTCGAGGTATCGTAATAATTTTAAATCCTTAACTTTACCCACTGTAGCCCGATACAGCCCTACTAAATACGTGGGAAAATTAAAAAAAGCTATTTGCGTTGTGTTTTTATTATAATGCATCAGGTTCCGCCTGCTGAGAACTATCTGATTGGGTGCTGTGAGGTTACCGACATGCCCCAAAGACCAGGAAGTAAAACACACAGGCGACCAAAATACCAAATCACTACACAGGTTCGTTGATTGAAAATGCAACATTGGCACAAAAGGTGCGCCTTTCCTCCTGGTGCCACTTCCAATTGCAAATTCGATTGGCGCGCTAAACTACCTTGTCAACGAATCTCTGCTTTATTGTCGACTCCCCCCTAATCTTCAAGGGACTTCGTTCCCAGATCCCTTCTACTATTTACTTCGGTGTGAATCTTAATTCGCATTCCTCCTACACTGATGAGAAATGCGTACCTCCATTTAAGGCGCGAAATACAACGAGCCACAGCCGACAATGGAATCAATTGGCACAGAGCTCAGTGAATTTTAAATTCCTGAACAGCTTATGCTTGTTATGCTGATCATCCCACCAAAGCCCTTTTGAGCACCAACTTCTTTCATCATTCGTATTTGATAAAAGTGCAACGCAAAACTTGCATCCCTAAAACTCCCTGAAAGCGTTGCTGTTGGACGTTTTATTGGTATTATTCAAAACGACCCCGAAAGTGCAGTGTAACAAGCACAATTTATTACCGAACATAAAAAATTCAAAATGCTTGGGCAGCTGATAAAATTTAAATCTACGGGATGCACAGGATAGGGTCAAACGAGGAAAAGAAAGTGAATGGTTGCCTCATACACCAGGCTGGCTCAGAGTTCGTCGTGGGAATAGAGCGCCTGCCCAAAGTCCGTCGCTTGACTCCCAATAAACACGTGATAATGCGACAGTATTTCATCCTTTGACAACTTTCCGTCCTACAATGGATGTTGGAACAAGGATTTACACTTTCATTTAATGGACATAAGCAAAGAAAGCCATTTAAGTTCTAAATGAAGACATTGAGTGGACAGATTACACTCATCAAATACGCAGCTAACTACTTGTCATGACAAGAACGCTCATACATCAAGTAAATTCACACTTTTATTTCGATAGCTATTATAGACACCTGAGATCTGCAAATTATTTGTTGAACAGTAAGGAAAGTGAGAAGAGATACCGTAGTTAATAAGCTTCTTTGAAGGTCAAAATTTATGACCACACTTATATGTCCGTCTTAATGTACTGTGCTGCACCTCACTAAGCTGCTGTTTCATTTTTTTCTCAAATAGGATATGGTTGAGGCGGGCATACAGCATGTGAATGTAAAAAAAGAACAGAAACCTGGTCATCGTCAGTCTCCGACATGAGGTGCTTCAGTTCGGATTCGATATGATCATAGTCAGCAGGGAAGAGCCAGGCGTGAATTTCTTCCCGATCAAGATAACCATCCTTGTTTTTATCGCGGGTCTCTCTAAACTGCTGCTGCTCAGTCTTCACCCACTCTGGAGGAGACTGCGATTCATCAACCCACATGTCCTCTGTTGGTGAGATGACGGGTAGGGAAGATAAAAAACAATCTCTTAAGTGATTACTAATTATGATAAAAAATCACTGGACGAATTAAGCAAAAGGAGACAAAGAAACGCGGCCAAAGAGGGAGTTGGTGGAGCACCTGAGTCAGTTGAAAAAAATAAGACCCAGGCATGACATCTTTATTCAAAAATTAATACCCTACCGAATATTTTAAGAATAAGTATAGCAAACATAACAGGTCAGAAAGTTTTCAGACTTAGAAAAGAGAAGATCCGGTCTATTTTATCAGTGATCAACTCTAATTAACTCGATTGTCTACTATTTTAGTTGGTTGAATCTGGTGATTTCCTTCAAATATTCAATATTTACATAAAGATTAGCCTTTGTGTACAGCATGCGACCACAAGCGGAATTCATATTTAAGAGCTGACGCCCATTCAGCGGTCACTGAGACCTCAAACGTGTGCATATCCAAAATAAACGGAAGTAATTGCGGTGCGCCTGTGTGCCTTCGACGCATGTTCGGACGGCCAACTGGCATGTGCGAGCTGGCACCTCGCACTTACAGCAAGACTGCACGAAGTACGCCCTTTTGTGACCTCCACAGGACACGTGGCAGTAGAGGAAAGTAGCACGCCTTAGTAAGGTTCGTCCACTGAAAAATCGTTCATTAAATCTATCTCAGATTTGGCCCTTATTACTCAACAGAAAGCGATGGAAAACAAATGGAGAATAAATTGGGTTTCATTAGCTCAAATCTCCTCAGCTATATTTAATAACAAGCCCTTCGTTCGCATACTCACTACTTCTCAACATTTAATATGAAGCTAACTACAAATTATTCCATAACTTACTAGTATATTCTTCCAAATCGATACGGCCGTCTTTATTTGAATCAAGATCTTCGAGCGTTTCCTAAAATAAACACTGAATTAAGCCAGTGAGGTCTAAGTGGGACTAATCGGTAAAGCAATACTAAAGGGACCGAAAGGATACACGAGCACCGCCGACTAAATGTGTGAAATCTATTCAAACATAAACATAAAATTAGTTTTGCTCTGAATTAAGGAGAAAATTTAGTAACTTAATGAACAGTAATCCAAAGATAGACAAAGGAAACTGAAGATCGATGATCGCTTTACCGAAGTTGAAATCAGAGGGACTGAATAACAATTACAAGTAAATATAGTAACTAGTTATGCATAAATGATAAGGAATAATACAAATAGGCCATAAGTACACATTTAGACTCAAGGAAAAATTACTACTGGGACCCATTATGTATTTAAAGCTCCATTACTTTCCGAGAGTTTTGTTAAGGTTAAATGCAGATTCAACAAAGGATTGTAAATATCATTCGTGTAGAGTTATTATGCAGTGACTTACGTCAATGACAATATCCCTCATATGTTCGAATTCTTCCGGATGCAAAAAAGCTGCAAATTCATCCTTCGTGAGCTTTCCATCACCATCTGTATCTGCCTTTTCAAAACGCCTTTTGTCACGAGTAATCGTCTGTTGGAGCTCGCCATCTAAGTAGATTAATTCCAATAACGAAGTAAAATAATTTACCATCTGAATCTTCTCCCTCCTCATAATCATCGGATATTTTGTTTTTGTGCTGCTCAAAAGTTACATAACTAGTCTTAAACTCATTGCGATACTCATCAAATGTTCGGCTAACATCCTGGTCGACGTATTTCGATGCCACACTTTTCAACCACATTCTCATTTCATCTTCTGATATGAAGCCGTCATTGTCTAGGTCCATTTTATCAACCAGTTGACTGAATGGAATACATGTAAAGTGTTAAACATTACGCCAGAAGTTTTTCACCATCCTTTCTAGTTGTGGAAGGAGAATGACCCGATGTAAGTTCATCTAATCCTATCAAAGGGTCGCTTAATTTCTAGAGAGAAATAAAGTGACATCACAACTACTCTATCATGAGCTCGTAAAGTTGGATCCTGGGGCTTTGAAAATGCGAAACCAATAAGACACACAAAAGGCACGAGCCTCAGCATCACGAAATTGCTGATCGCAAATAGAGGACACCGTTTCAAATGCATACCAGGATACTTTGCAACAATTTAACAAATTAAACAAATTTACGTTCAAAGATTTTTGGAAAAAATATCAGATTACAACCCATCAATTTGTTTTTCTAAATGAAGGAGTCGTGTAAATCATGTGATATTGTGCACCTGTTTGTGTTTTCTAAATACTCGTTGTGTTTAGATGATGTGTTTTGATTATTTTCGTGGTTTAAAGAAGTCGACAAAGCATCATCTCTTGCAAAATGTCCTAACAAAAGAAATCATTATTAAAAGTGGAATGATTTGCTTGAGTCAAATCTATTTGTTCAATAAAATAACTGAGTTCTAGTCGTTGTGGCATTCCGAAACTTCTCCGAAGCCGAAAAAGGGCCTGACACTGAAGCAAAATATGTATTGCCGGGATACGGTAGGGTCTGGGACTACTGTAGGAAGAGGATCGTAGATCTATTCTTCCCTGTTCCCGTAGTCATGAAACAACCAGGCTGGTTTGATTTTGACATATTTATTGGGGGAAGTGAATAGGGAAAAGTGGTACAGAGTCTAGGGGAGCGTGGACACGTAACTGCTCTCTGGTTTGCAGGACGTTGACTCCTCAGTCGCGGGGTTTGATTCGGATTCCAACCTCCTATCTGAAAGGAACTTCAAATTAACATAAGTATTACACTACAATCATAGCCTAAAGGTCCAAAGCGCTACGTAAGTACATTGGTGGGGCACCCAAATGGCCTATTGCCAAAATCGAGAGTCAAACACAGAGCAAAATATTTAGCAAATAATTTGCATTAGTTTCGCCTAATAAAACTGTTAGTTACTAAATGTTGCGTGTTCTAACATTAATTTTCTTAGATAGCCTCTTGTGCTGGCAACTCGAGAACGACATAAAAGCTTTCGGCCATGCAGAAAGTTGTCGCGTCTGCCCTTTTTAAGTTATTTTTGTTGCCCAAATCACCACCAATCATGTTCACTTGCTTGACTTCTTAATTTTCTGTAGGTGAATACTGCTACAACTCAACTCTGTGAGCCCATAATCGCTGGCTGCATTTATGGATTCTGAAATAGGGCTATCATGCAATTACCACTTTAGTCATCCAAAATTTAGCAGTTTCGCCTCGTTCAGACGTGCTTAAGTCCGCTGCTTACAGAATAGATCTTGCAAAGCAGTGTAGACCTGAATATTTTTGCTTTATAACATAGTAATTTCGCTCACCCTTGAATATGGTAAAACATTCCTCATTCATAATTGAACAAATTAGCACATAGACGTTCCCGTGAGCATATTTACAGGCTTCATCCATCATATAGTACGTAAGAGTGATTTTCTATCATGCAGTAGGTAGGTTTTGTGATATTTTAATAACAATAAAAAGGGTCTAGCTAAAAATACCTCTTTAAAGTGAAACTGACGGCAGCAATGATGCCAGTGGACAAAAAGCTGCAGATATGGATTTGTAGTCACTCAAGGAATAATTCTTTATGTGATTCTGGAAAATGAATTAAATTTTGTTGCAGCATCTGCAAAAAATAGACTATATGACCACTTCATGTATAATTCAGTATCCGGGATTTTTTAATCTAACTCTATAGGTCTAAATATAATAAATACAACCAGCAATTGAATGCTGTCATGTAAATAATAATAGGTCGAGTTCAGGTCAGCGCTGAAAGCCGAATGCCCAACCTGGATGAGGCGTCGGAATTGGCGAAATCTAATGTAAACGGATAATTTAACTTATACCAACCTACCGGAAGCACAGTATTACCGGTTTGTCGAGGGAGTACATGTGCTATTTCAATGCCTTGAAACGTGGTTTTCGCATGGTAAAGGCCAATTGTGGTAGGAAGGTTGATCAAACCATAATTTGTATAGCACCATAGTAGGTGTGTACCTAACTAAAACAAGAAAATGGAACTAATGTACCACTTTTTGATCATAGCAGTTAAAATGTCACGACCGATATTGGTTTGCTGATTGGAGCATGACCCTCAATGCATAATTTGCATTTTTGAGATGTCTGTGCCTCTCCTTAAGCTGGTCGCGTAATAATTTTTTTACAACCCTGGCTTATTGGAATAAATTTCCGTTACCAAGATGGAGAAGAATAGTCTTGTCTACAATGCAATTTGTCGGGTATTTGTTTAAAGTAGGATCAAGTTGTTGGCCACAATTGTAATACCTATGTTGTTTAAATGTTCAATCAAGGGGAATACGAGAAAAAGAATTCAACCTCGTGACTGAGGAGCGACCAACATCTCTCAAGTCAGGAAAAAGCCCTGTGTCCAAATCTTCCTAAACATGTCAAAACCAAATCAGCCTGGGCGTTCTAGGCGTACAAAAGCCAGGGAAGAGGAGATAAAGGAGCCTCATTCCACATAATTGGTGCATGAAAATGCTAAGATTGTGTGATGAAAACTTAATTAAGAAGATTAGTCCACATATATAAAATCCGTTCTTGGGGAAAACAAGTTTTGAACAGTGACATTAAGTTGTAATACACTAATTATTTGTTCAAATCTTGGTTATGGTAAAGACCACTTAGGGTGTCCACCGGCGGCCCGTCATCCAGGCCATGACATTGCCCCAGTGCCTGCTGAAAGTCTCAGGAAGCTAAGTTAGTGGCAATAGAAAGTAAACCGAGCCTAAAAGGGCAATCATCTTGATTTCCACCTTTGAGTGAAAAACTTTACCAAGGTGGGAGAAGTACCTATGCTGCGGATAGGAGAATCAGCAGAGACTCCCAACAGAAGATCTGAAAATTACATCTGCCTTCAGTGGCTGTCTCACTCTCCTGTTCTGCAGGAAAGCCATTAACGGTTGTAGTAACTTTGGTGGTGAATTGTCAAGAAAAGGCCGTTATGAAACTTCCTACCATTCGTATACAAAGATATTGATTATATGATTGTTCGACACCCCCTCCACTTCTCTACTAGCTGGATGGAACGCAGGTGGATATGGCTGGTCAGCAATAAAGCAGGAAAAGGCGTCAAGGAGGAGTAGACGCTAAATTCCACTTCCACAAAATTACTGCAGCGTCTAGAGACAACCCTACATAAGAAAATGTCATAATATGCAGTAGAGTTCAGGGCTAATAAAGGACTTGGCAGTGAAAGCACAATCACAAAGCGCCTAAGTGACCCCATCACCAAAGCCGAGAGTTCAACAAACAACTAACCTATTATAGTGTAGGGCGAGACTCACCGGTCTTCTCCTCCCTGTTCCTAGTGTCCTTAGAACAGCCCGGCTGATTTGATTTGGCCATATTTCATGAAGAGGAAAATATCGGACGGGAAAGTACAGCGTTTAAAAGGGAGGAGAACCGCAATCACTAGGCACGGAGAAGGACGATCCTGTCACCGGATTCGTATTTCCAGATTGACTCCTCCCTGAAAGTTACATTAAAATAACATATGTATTACAATAGTATGTTCAACCCCGTCCTTTGTTATTCGAATTTGCTACCTTTTTGGTGCTCTCACGACTGAAAATGGACACGCGTGATGACCAGCACATTTTTCCGTCCCAAAATTCACTTCTTGTAGGGAACAAAACCTCACATTTAATAGAATTGCCAGGATGGATCAGGAACATTGACGTCAAGTATCTTCCCAGTTACATA